TTTCAACCCCGGCCCCGCAGGTCCCGCCTCTCCCTCCCCTCCTCCCGCATCCCTCTCTCCGCCCACGGCTCCTCCTCCTCGGCCAGCCCTCCATCGCGCTCCGCCGCCTCCCCCCAGGCACCTTCCTCCTCCCCTCCCTGCCCCAAGCTTTCCCATCGCCGTCTACCATCCCTTCCCCGCTTCACCCCTTCCCTCTCACCCTCCTCCTGGCAGCCCCTTCCCTCCTTCCATCCCCTTTCTGCCCACACTTCGCTGCCCGTGGACATCCTCCCCCTGCACCCTCCCTTGTCTCCCCTCTCCATGAGAGCCCATGGCAGAGCTCTGCTTTTCTCATTTCAACCTCTTCCTCTGGCCTTTCCTCACTCTCCACTCTGGCCTAGGCTCCCTCCATCCTCTCTTCTCTGCCCCTCACCTTCCCCAACAGCCCCCTTCTCCTCTTCCCCAACCTTTGCCTTCCCCCCCATCCCCATCAGCTCCCTCTCCCCCATCTTGTCCGGTTCTTTCTCCCCTCTGCCCACACTCTTTGTCTCCTGAAGGCCCTTAGCTCAGCTGCTCTCAGGCACAAGCCCCATGACAGCTCCAGCTAGCCACAACTGGAGAGCCCAGCAGCCTGGCCTAGAGCCAGGATGGTCAGGAGGTGCATCAGGATGTGGTGGGGAATGGCTTCTCCCTGGTCCTGGGTTGGAGGGAGCCAGGAGGGAGCAGGATTGTAAAAAATACCCTCCACAAGCACCTTGTAATCAGCTCGTTGCGTGTGGTGCCCCATTAACCCTGATTAAATTCTACCCACCTGCAAGGAGAGGATGTTTTATAATACACACACACCCCCCGGGGACTGGGAATTCAGGATTTGGCCCTCAATGAACACCTCAAAGCAGCTGTTAGAGGCAGATCAGTGTTGCTTTTGAAGCTATCGTCACTGTTTTCTGCACCCGAGCAGCTCTATGAACTGCAAGCAGGTCTTTTTGGTGTCTGAGTTACATTTCACATGCTCAGCTCTGCAAACCTCCTTTTCTTCAGAGGAAATGAGGTAATTCTAATCGTTTTGCAAAAGAAAGCAATGTGCTGACTCCCCAGCTGGGGCAGACTGTGGGAAATCTCATTTGTTGGCATATAACCTGTAGAGAAATCACCGATGTTTGATTCTATTGAGTGACAGGTCATATCTGAGACATCCTTGGGAAACCTACAGGAAAAAATACTTTCACAAAATCATGTCACCTGGCTTTTGCTGCCAAACAGCCTAGGGCTTTGCATCCAAGCACACGCTTGCTCAGGGTGGCTACACTATACCTATAAATGAAACTAATTTTTTCTTAAGAACAGAATATTTTTCACAGGCAATTATTTTTCACAATTAATACAATAGTTCAGTTAGAGACCTACAACAACCATCTAGCCCAACTGCCTGACCACTTCAGGGCTGACCAAAAGCTAAGTGTGTTATTAAGGGCATTGTCCAAATACCTCTTCAACACTAGCAGGCATAAGAAAGTCAAGATTTTTCCCATTTCCCTATTAAAATTGCTTAGAAAAAGATCTTGGACCCAGTCAGAGATGGCTTTCTCACAGACACACCAGAAACACTTGATTATCTTTGCAGAGTTATAAATGCCACGTTAAAAGAGACTGCTCAATTCGGGTCTGCGACTGCATTAAGTCAAAAGACTTTCCAAACAGGCACTGAATTTTGGGAGTATGTAGATATGTATAGGGAGGTCTGTGAGGAGAGAAGAGTCACGTATAATTTGTCTCTTATTCCCTGCTTTATTTCCCTCCTCTGCTGCTGTACAGGAGAGCTGAGTACTGGCTGTTGCTTTAATCATTGAGGGGCTCTCAGCTGCCTGTCACTGCTGGATTGAACAGAGTTTTCTGACACAGATCCCATCTTTTCTGGATGCACAGTCTGCTGCTCTTGCGTAAACATCTTATATTGCCTTTTCTGTAGGCACCACTGCAAGGTAATACCATCAAGAATAAATCCAGGGAGTTCCATCACACTGAAGGAAAAAAAAAATAAAAATCTAAACCCACTGCCACATGAGTTAATTTGGACCTTAGAGTCTCTTGTGGATTTCACGGCTGACAAGGACAAATAAACCCCCTTGCACCAAACCCCCCTTGGACCTTGTCCTGTGAGAACAGGCTGAGAGAGTTGGGGTTGTTCAGCCTGGAGAAGAGAAGGCTTCAGGGAGACCTTATAGCGGCCTTCCAGTACTTAAAGGGAGCCTGCAGGAAAGACAGGGACAAACTTTTTAGCAGGGTTTGCTGCGATAGGACAAGGGATAATGGCTTTAAACCAAAAGGGGGAAGATTTAGATTAGATAAGGAAGAATTTTTTTACGCTGAGGGTCGTGAAACCCTGGCACAGGTTGCCCAGAGAGGTGGTAGATGCCCCATCCTTGGAAACATTCAAGGTCAGGTTGGACAGGGCTCTGAGCAACCTGATCTAGTTGAAGATGTCCCTGCTCATTGCAGGGGCGTTGGACTAGATGACCTTTAAAGGTCCCTTCCAACACAAACTATTCTATGATTCTAAATTCCGCACTAGCAAGTAGGAGAAAGGCCACCCTTGTTCCCTTAAGCTGAAAAGCAAGTACCAAAATCCCAACTCTTTTCTGAACTTACTTGTATGTAAGAGATACATTTCCTCCTCAGAACTCTACAAATCCTCAATTCTAAGCTCCTTCCACCATTCGGGTGACACCCGAGAAGTCACCGAGAATCCCATGGCAAGGCCAGGACACCCTCCGCATCCCAACTGGCACTGGAGCAAGCCTTCATCCTTGCTGACCTCCCCGGGGGTGCAGGGACCCAGCCGGAGACATCACGGCAGGGGGGACCGCGAGGCGGCTCCCTCCACCCTGCCCTCCCCAAACCCCGCTCCGCTGTCCGCGGCAGGGCTGGGCGGGGAGGAGGAGGAGAAGGAGGAGAAGGAGGAGGAGGAGGAGGCCGGTCTCGCCTCGCCTCCCCCTTCCCCCTCGCCGGGTTTCCTTGCAGCATTTCCATGCTAGAGGTCTCCACCGAGCTGCGGAGAAAGGATCTGCCTGGCTGCGCCGGGCCCTCTTCCTTCCTTTGTGCATCCCCCA